AACTAATCCTGAACATGGGCAGGGACTGGATTACTGCTTCTTTATATCTTTACCAAGTGCATCATGCTGTGCATATCTTAGGTAGGCCCCAGATATTTTTTGAATTAAAGAGAATCAAAAGCATTTGTCCCATATTCCATGTACAATTTTGATAACTCTATCAAGAAACTTTCTGGATTTCATTATAATTTAAATATTAGAAAATATTCATGCTATAAGCAAATGAGTAGCTGTTTTTATATTAATATATGTGATTGTACAAAAGACAAGTCTGCTCACACTCTGAAAGGACCTTTCTAACCACACATGAGATTCTCTGTCCTGAGAGTGGCTTTTCTTAAATATAATCTTTTATAAATAGATTTTATAGAATCTGCTTTGCTTTGGTTACTCCATGTGATTTAGAATGATGGTGTACTCAGTGACCATAGCACAGCTCATGGTCATTGACAGAAAATGGTGGGATAAGTATGGAGTGCTGAGCTCTGTCTTTGTGTCCCTCTCTTTCTCTCTCTCTCTCTGTCTCTTTCTCTCTCTCTCTTTTTCCTTTCCCTTCTCTGGAAAATAATACAAAATACAAAGAACATTCAAGCATGATCTTTCCTCTGATTCTCATGTTTTTGTTGCAAAGTTGGTAATTAGTAAATTAAAAGATTAAGTCTTGCTCCCTTGAGAGATGGAAAGATAAGACAGTATCATAGAGTATGTTCTCCTATTGCTACTGGGCAACTTGCATGATTATCTTCCTGTCTCAGTACATAGAAGTTCCTTCTTATCCAAGTTTTCACTTTCCATGGTTTCAGTTACCCACTGTCAATCTGGTCTGAAAATAGGTGTATAAAGTACACTAAGATATTCTGAGAGAGAAAAAGAGAGAGAGAGAGAGAGAGATACCACATTTACATAACTTTTATTACAATATATTGTCATAATTATTCCGTTTATTAGTTATTGTTGCTAATCTCTTTCAGTGCCTAATTTATAAATTAAACTATATCATAGGTATGTATGTATAGGAAAACACATAGTATATATAGGGTTTGGTACTATCAGAGAATTCAAGCATCCACTGGGGGTCTTGGAATGTATTACCACAGATAAGCAGGGGCTACTGTATCTGGCTGCAATTCACTATAATACTTCCATGACTTTTAGAGACATTTCAAATTCCTGATCAGTTTTAGGTAAGTAAATAAAAGTGTATACCTTAGTGGTGTTCTGTTTTACAAAAACAGAGAGGAAATCTTTTGAGTTTCATTTTTATATTTGAAATGTTAACCTCATGTAACAAAGGGAAGACTGTTACAATTTGTCAGAGGAAAGGTCTTGTACCCTACCCTTGACTGTGTGACACTTCTCTTTCTCTATTTTCCTCCTCTTTGTTCTTTCTAACTCTTTCTTTCCCCTCTCTGCCTCCTGCTTTTCTACATCCTCCTTGCTTGTGTTACAAGCTGTTATCAGCAACCAACACTATCGGGTAACCTCACCAGAGCTGGTGGTGAGTAAACCCCGATCTTCCCTCCTTCCTTCATTGAAGGCATTCCAGAAATATACATTGAATTTACTTCCTGTATTCTTTAAAAATACCACAAAATCCAGGACAGAAAAAGCTACAGCAGCCCCCGTTGGCATTGCCATGAAATACTAGACAACTGCAGTGCAATTCAGAAATTCTCACTGTTTCCTGTTTCTTGAAGACCTCAGAAGCAAATGAAGTGTAAATCTTGAAAGTTCTATTCTGAGCCAAGTTTTAAGGTTCAGGCAGTAATTAGCAGTTATACTAGAATCAAACTTTTTTTTTCTAAGCACCCAGAAATCTAGAATTTGTCTTGGCAGGTACTCAGGAATGATTTTCAGTATAAATCAGGAAAAGCAGTCAAGAGAGGCACCGCATGCTGTGGGAAGAACGCTAATTCACTGTAACTGTTGAAGGCAAAGCCATATATATGGATCTGATTTCTTTCTGAAACAAGAGTTGGCTGGAGTTAACAGCATGTGTTGGATCTATATGGTGTGAATCTGTAGCCTTTGGCAAAGAAGAGAAAATTCCAGGTGTTAAACATTAAACTAGGAATCCTGCTTCTGCTTAAAAGCAACAGATCCTATATGACTCCAGTTCAGTTTCTTCATCTACAAAATGGGGATATGCATCTACTTAATAAGATTTTTGCAAGGAGGAAATAAGATGATGTCCATAAAGTGCTCAGCATACAGCTTGGCATGTAAGGCTTAATCAATGGTAACTACTGTTACATTTATTGAAATTATGAAAGTTACAGAAATTATGATTTAAGCCTTCCATGCAAAAAGTGAAAGTGAAAGTAGCATCCCAAATAAACTGAAGCTCAGTCCCAGGCACTTCTGTCTTTTTCCCTAGTCTTCCAAGGTAGTTGGCCTTTGCAAGTATATATGTGTACGTTACTTGTCTGTCTGTATTTGTGTCTGTGTCTGTATCTGTGTCTGTGTCTCCTACTTTCCTGCCCTATCCCAGACAAAGGAGGTGGTGGGAGAAGGAGCAGGGATTGTTACTGAGTGATGGATGAGTGAGGTTAAAATTCAAGCTTGGGCTAGACGGGAGGGATTAAATTATCTGCACATGTTCCTCCTGTTGGAGTCAAGAATTTTGATTCATAATAAAAGTTACAGGGTTATGTAGTCATCTGTGAATTCATGAAACACAGCCCCTGCTGGGAAGATGGGACCATTTCTGGACAGATGTGTGTGTTCCAAGGAATCACTATCTTTGGAATTGGTCTTGTTAGGAACTAAGGGATTCAGGTTCTACAGGACATTGCAGTTTTTCTTTTGGCTGCAAGAAGACTGAATGTTATGGGTTTGGGATTGAGTTTAATGCAGTCTATTTTAAAAACAAAAGCACATGAATAAACAAAAAATTAGATGCAGTATATAACAATGGTTTACTGAAATGCTGATAATCTATTTTGCATGCATATTTTGCCCGGAGTAAATGCCTGAATTCCTAATCATCAGCAGTTTCTCTTGCTATGTGCAGCTTTCTTTCTTCTTGGCCATCTTCCTAAAGCCTTCTTAGCCGGACTCTTCGCTGTTTGGTCTGTTCTCTGATTCTGTTGTAAAGTGTCCTATAAATTTACTGTCTAGGTAGCAAGTAGTTGTTTACCCCCAGGAAATGTACTTGTGTGCTTAATTGTTTGGTCAAGTCTTCCCCATCCATCAGGTTGGTGCTCTTCCAAGATTGCAGTCTGATGTAAAAGAAATATGTTTCACGCAGACTTTTCTATATATGTTAGCAGTGATGGGTAGGAAATTCTAGAAGGTATAAAAATCATTCAATCCTTATATTTTGCTGCCAACTTTACATGGAAAACTAAGTTTTAGCATTCAAATGATCCAGCAAATCATCATCTGAAATGAGATTTGGCTACAAAATGTAGGTAACCATTTGAAGATGGATAGAATACTGTTAAACCTGGATATTTATGCTTTAAATATTTATATAAGATTTATTCTGCATAGGAATAAATGAACCTGCATAGAAAAATTAAGGAGCATCTGGGTGAAAATAAAATGTTTGCTAGTGTCACTTTAATTTCTTTAATTTGGTTGAAAGTATTATTTCCAATGTATTCTATGCTTTCTCCAGCTGAGGGATAAAAGAATTGCTTTTAGTAGATTATATTTTTCAATCATTCTCTCCTTCATGTGCAGTCCTGGTTCTGAGACTAGGGGGACAAGACACTTTTTGTACCCAGAGAATGCTGCTTTGAGTAGAGTTTATTCATGAGAATGCACCTTGCCTGCAACTTTGAGAGAAGCCCATTACATTCATCATAGTAAGTCTTTTGTAACTATTTCTTGATGAATTACACAATCTTCTCACTTGAATAGCAGTCGGAAAACTGGTTGAGGCAGATCGGGGTTTAATACAACAGTAGGAGGCCATGGTATGGAGAGGAAACTCAGGAAGAGCAAATGGCATGTTTAGAGCAACAAAGGGAAACAGAGAAGGTGAGGCTGGACTCTGTGGTGGAAGCAGAGTGATTTAACACTGCTTCTTAAGCTTCTAACACCTATGGTGAAAGAATAGGTTTGTTTGGTTGATTGGTTTTCTGAAATTTTGAATCTGTTGAGGACCAATACTTTTGTAAAATTCAGTAACAATAAATTACTAGAAAAAATTATCTTGTGACCTGACATGGTGAATCACCCTTGTAATCCCAGTAATTTGTCATAAAATTTAAAAAGAAATTAGCCAGGTGGGTGATGTGCACTTGTAGTCCTAGCTACTCAGGAGGCCGAGGCTGAAGGATCACTTGGGCCCAGGCTGCAGTGAGCAATTACCTCATCACTGCAATTTTAGCATTGACAGAGTGAGGCTTCATCTCTAAAAATAAATAAGTAAATAAATAAAAATGATCATGTGGTATTAAGGCTTCTAAATGCTTACTTTCTATTTATGTACACATCTCTCTGTGAACCAGTTTAAAAAAAAAAAAAAAAAAACAGTTCACTGACACTGGGCTGCGGGACACACTGAGAAACACTTGTTTTGAGAATGGTCAGAGCTGAACTGGAAAGAGATTGGCACTAAATTGTGAAGAGCCTTGTATACCTTTATAAGGATTTCAAACTTTATGCCATCAAAATTTGGACCAACCTGAAAGTTTTGCTCTTTATTATCTTCCTGGATTTGCACTGTAAATTAATGTATCTAAAACTTTTGTGTGAATAGATGTTTGCTTAAATGTGTATTTAAAAAGCTATTTTAGCTTGGCAGTTAGTGTCACATATGTTGCTCTATACTTTTTAAAATTTTGTAGTTAAATAATCTTGCTTTTGAAAACTCAGCTTTATTTGGGTAAAGGAACACTTGACATCCCAGTTTTCCCTTCCTCCTTCTCTACCTTGTGTCTGTTTTCAAAAGAGCGGGTTGTATTTTACTGCAGATTTCTCAGGAGACCAGAACTGATCTGCCAGCCCTGCTGCCTTTTGTTGCTCTGCTCTTTACATTGCCTTTACAGTCACCAGGTGTCAAGATGCTGCGAGTCCATAGGACTGGACTGGGCAGGCTGGAGGTCAGCCTCTCCAAGGGTCTTCACCACAAAGCTGTGTTGGCCGTCCGGAGGGAGGATGTGAATGCCTGGGAGAGAAGGGCCCCTCTAGCTCCCAAGCACATCAAAGGCATCACCAATCTGGGATACAAGGTCTTGATACAGCCTTCGAATCGACGGGCCATTCATGATAAGGTAAGCATTTCCAATGTTTAAAATATGTGAGAATAAAGTGAACCTGCATATGAAAATTAAGGAGCATCTGAGTGAAAATAAAATGTTTGCTAGTGTCATTTTGATTTCTTTACTTTGGTTAAAAGTATTATTTTCACCCTATTCTATGCTTACTCCAGCTGAGGAATAAAAGAACTTACTTTTAGGAGATGATATTTTTCAATCATTCTCTCCTTCATGTACAGCCCTAGTTCTGGGACTCGGGGGACAAGATTCCATTCTTGCACCTAGAGAATGCTGCTTTGAGAATGCACCTTGCCTGCCACTCTGAGGGAGGCCCATCATGTTCATCATTCCACTTGCTCTTCAAAATACTGTTATGGTATAAGTTTGACTCTCATTCCCATTTTAGCAATATACATATATATATATACTTTTCCTTTCCTGAACCATTTTAAAGTAAATCACAGACATCGTAACTCATTACTACTAAATACTTCAATATACATCTCCTCAGAATAAACCGTTTTTTCTACATAACTACAATATTATTTTCATACCTAAGAAATTAATAATTCATAATATCATCTTATATAGTTCAAATGTTCAGATAGTTCAAATAGTTCTATGTTCAAATTCCCCATTGGCTCAAATGCCTTTTATTTTAATTGAGGCTTAATGAAGCTTTATTGCATTTTATCGTTGTGTGTCTTTAGTTCTTTCAATCTAGAACAATACATCCCTTTCTGATTTTGTTTCAATGATATTGATATTGACATGGACTCTTTTTAAAAGAGCCCAGGACTTACAGAGTGTCCTCTACTGGGCACGAATAATCTGGTTGTTTTCTTGTGATTAGATTATATTCTAGTTATATTCTATATATTGAACATAAGTGATATATGTTCTTCCCATGGCATCACATCAAAGGCACAAAACATCAGGTCGTCCCATGGTTAGCAACGTGTGGTCACTTGGTTGAGGTAGTTACAGTGAGAGCTCTTCATTGTTAAAGTCTGTTTTATCCTTTGTAATTACTGAGTCATCTGTGGTATGGTATTTTAAGTTCTGTGATGTTCCTATTCCTCAATAACTTTACAACTAATTATGTTAGCCTCCATTGATAATCTTTGCCTGAATCAGTTTTTACATGGAGACTTGTGAAGTGATGCTTTTCTAATTTTTTATCACTCCCCTAAGTTTGTTTGCTGACATTCTTCTTTAGAAAAGAGGTTTTCTTTTCTTTCTCTTCCACTTCTCCATTTTTTGAGTTGTGAACTGTTTTATTACAGTGCATTGAACTGTTTACCAAACTGAATTCTGTAATTCAGTGTTTAAACATACTTCTTTAAAAAAAGCTTTCTTACCATTGCATTTAAAGCCTTGTTGTGAGGAGTTTATATATACATCTTCATGTTGACAAGATGAATCTTAGGATGTTGCTTAAAAGATGAGTTGTGTACTGTTTTATTAAAGTGAACTGAATTGTTTATCAAAGTGTGAACTCTAATTTACTGTTGCATTATGCTTCTTTAATTTTTGCTTTTTTGAGTATATTTTGGAAGCATGGATCTTTTTCATTCAATCCATTTACCATTATTCTTTTTAATATCTGAATTACCCCAAAATTGGTTAGTGTGAGTCCTTCCAAGGGGGATTCTCTGTCCTTTGGACATGAATCCATTTATCTTTGAGCTTTCTTGTTTCTTAGAATAACAAATTGTCCTAGTCTCACCTTGTACCTTTCCTGCCCCACATCAGGAAATTAATAATTTCGCCAAGAAGACTAAATTTCTTTTAGTATATAGAAACCGAGATCTGGTATCTGGTGTTAAGCATGTTTATTGTTACTGAGATACTGCTGCTCTTAGGCTTTATTAGTGTACAGAGTTTAGAAATAAACACAAACAGATGCCCACACACACACACATATATATATATTATTTAATCATTAGTTAATACTGATACTAAAAGACTTCCAGAGGAAAAATTAATGTCCAGGAAAATTAAAATTTAACATTGCACAACTTTTTACCTTTAAAATTTTATATTTGCATTTGTTTTCTCCAACAGTAAAAATCTTGATTCTTTAACATTAATGCATATTGTTTGCTTTATCCTATAATATGTATTAAATAGTGTCAGAATCACAATACTATTATTACAACTAACAGTAAGCCCACTAAATGAAGTTTACCATTTCTTTGATTTTTTTTTGCCTTTAGAATATATTTGACAATGAATATTCAGAGTGTTGTATTAAAAAACTTATTTGAATTATTTTTTCGGTGTGGTTTCATCATCAATCTAATATCCATCTAGATTTATATATTATTGCTTCTATTCAATTTTAATGTTTGCTTTCCCTTTTTTTATTTAATTTTGTTTTTCAAAGTAGAACATTTACAAATTCCAGAAATGAAGTCATATTTTCATTTTACTCCCATACATCCAATTCTCACCCACCCCAAAGGTTACTTTTGTTTCTGATCTATCATTCTTTTTTCTTTTTTTGCAAAAATGAACACCTGTGTGTGTATTTATTTCCCTTTTGTTCTTATACAGAAGGCTGTCTACTATATTAACTCTTTTTACCTTGCTTTCTTTCTTTAGTAACAACGTATCTTGAACATTGCTCTATGTAAGTTCTTAGAGATATTTCATTTCGTTTCATTTCATTTCATGGCTGTGTGAAAAGTACTCCATTGTACAGATTTACTATGGTTTATTTACCAATCTACTACAAATGAGAAAATGGACTGTTTTTGAAGAAACTAGGGAGAAATTGCATGTTCATTCTTTAACTATCACTGTTATTCATCTCTACTTTCCTTCGAAGTAGATTCCTAACTAAACTTATCTTTTGTTCAACTGCTATCATAGATGCTCTTTTAATTCTGCTTGGGTAATATCTCTTTATTTAAAAATCAGATATGTCTGTCTGTTGCTTCCATGTACTAGCTATGTAATCTCAATTAAGTTTGTAAGTCTCAGGTTTCCCATTGATTGAATGAAGATTATAATTGTACTTACCTCATGAGAGTTCTATGAAATTTAAATGAGATAATTCATGCAAAGAGCTTAGCAAAGTACATAGTAATTTATTAATACATATCAATGATTGTTGCTTATTACCCAATAAAGCTCATGTTAGCCATAATGACATTCAACCTGCATTTCCAAATCAATTTACTCGTATGCTGTAAATGTCTCTTTACTTCTCTCCCTTTGTATTTTTATACATGCCTTCAGTGCCTCTTACTGATATCACCATCTGGTGTTTCCCATCTTCATTTCTCTAAATTTCAGGTAACCTTTCAGATTAATTTAAATTTTCATATTTCTTTAGTATCCTACCTTTCAGATTAATTTTCATATTTTTTGATCATCCTACCTAGGAATTATCTCAATATCAGTTAAAGTAGCATATCACTTAGGTGCTGCTGATCATAATATTTTGAATTTTTCATTTACTCCAATCCAGAGTACCTTTTACTATATTTTGTGAGCTCCTTTATAGAACAAATTTTGACAATCTTTCCTTGTATCTTAGCATCTCATCTCTAGCACAGACTAATGTACAGTAAGGACAGTAATAAATACTAACTGAGCCAACACTGAAAAATAAATGTTATAATTATGTCTTATCTTTTAAAAATACAACTAATAAATCACAATTTGGCATTTAATATTTCAGTGTACTGTTGGTACAAAATATACATTTCACAAATACGCTTAAGTCACATGTGCTAGTGGGATATGACCAAATTATAAACTCTTCTTAAACATATGTATATATATATATGCCGAGTTTTCTAATTGTTTAATGCTCTAAGAGTTGACCATGGTAGATTTATCTTTAGCCAATAAGTACAAACATTACAAGTAGTTGTTCTATTATTTGTTCTAATTCATACAGATTTTATTCCTTCAAAAGATTTGTTGTGCCTTTGTTTGCTACACATTTTATTCAAGAAAACATGGATATTACAAATCAGGATAATAACCTTTAATCATAATTACAATTTCAGGACTATGTCAAAGCTGGTGGCATTCTTCAGGAGGATATTTCCGAAGCTTGTCTAATTTTGGGAGTTAAAAGACCTCCAGAGGAAAAATTAATGTCCAGGAAGACTTACGCGTTTTTCTCCCACACAATAAAAGCTCAGGAGGCCAATATGGGCTTGTTGGATGAGATTCTAAAACAGGTAATTAGTGATTAATATTCTTGAATATACTGCCAAGAAGTATGGCATATAAGTTAGTTTTCCTTTCTTCTTTAGTTTAAGAGGAACATTGCATTCCTTTTATATTCTGAAATGGAAAGAATGTTAAAAGCTTTTT